CAGGGCCATTTCTTTCAGGAGTCCTGCTTTGTGGAATCCCCCATTGAGGCACCCCTTCTGGGCTCCCTTTCCAGGAGAACCATCACTTGGCTTGGCGACTGATCGAACATCATCTCAGATGCAGCAGTCTGACGACAAAGCTGCCACTTCTCTAGAGCGCGAATGCCGTGTTGGGGTCTGGCAAGGAAGATTACTCGTTTTGTGGACAACACAAAGGGGCATCCCACCTTGACATACACAGCTCTTCGGCATGATCTTCGGGAGGCCCAGAACCCTACAACCAAATTAACGAGCTTCTGGCCATTCTCGACCAGGCTGAACATTCGATGCATTCTTGCCAAATCCTGGTACCAGGCAAAGTTGCAAACTGGTCTGCTTAGTCCAAACGCCTTAACAGGAATGTGCCAGGCTTTTTCGGGAAGTACAGGCTTCATTTCGTGCTCTATGACAACTATCAGTGCATGTGGGGATTTTGTGGCGGATGCCGGGTTTTGGTCGCTGCTTCAGCACGAAAGCACACTCACATATGTCACCATCGAGAAAAACAATGCAGATGACAGATTGCTGATGTTGTGCTCTTATGTGTAAGGATCGTGGGCTTGCCTTAAGCAGAGACTATCTGAAGCGAGTCTACATTCCCAAAAGTTTTTCACTTCGTGCAGGTGGTACTTTCCGCCGATATTTGGGGCAGGATGCCGCTGATCGTTCGCGCGACTACAAGAGAAAGCCACTGCAGAATCATATCGTGGACTAGGCCATCGACAGTAAGCCATAGGATTGAGGACATCTCAAGCGAGATAGATTTCCTAGACAAGTCGAACAAACCAGGACATCTGAACAAACTTCAGCGCTGCTTTGCCTAGGCCACTGAAAGCAATCCTTGCGTACATGCCTGCATGGGACACCAGTTGTTAGTCACCTTTCATGCAACAATTGTTGGGTTCGCAAAAGTAGGGCTGGCGTTTTCTGGATTGTAGTACGTGGGGTCTATCTCGGGATCCCCCTTATCTTGGGAAACTACTAGCATATAACTACTATATAACCCCTTTGTAACCCAATATTCCCTTTAAAGAGTCTCAATCTTGTAGAGTTTCCTACTAGCAGCCATCTTGCACTCTCTGCGGCCGACCTCTCGCTTGTCGTTGTCCAAAAGGTACACGACACCTGTTTCTTTCTCCTGAGCAAATGCTTCAGTGTTAGGGTTTGAGGTGGTAGCCCCCAGGAAGATGTTGGGTATTTCTTAAAAATTAGACCCCGACGCAACTCGAAGCATGCAAGAGTCTTTGCTGCAGCGCTCCCGGACTCAAACAGGTAACCCTAAGGGTCCAAGGACCCAAATAATAGGCTTTTGGGGCCCAAATACCACCATATAATTGGTATTTGGGCCCTAAAGCCCTATTATTTGGGGTACCCTAACACGCCAACTATTTCCTTCTTGCAGCATGTAGCATCCAGTTGGAATTGAATGGAAGGATATCTTGTCATCAATTCGGACCCAGAGTTTCAAACTGCCTGCTCAGCATGCCAACACAGCCTGCCGAAAGCTCGAAGGAGCCATCAGAACTAACATGTTTTGTGGTTAAAACACGTAAGAGTGTAGTCTTCTCGTGCAACACTGGACCTACAAGGAGAATGGAATCTTGCTCTATATTTGGCGCTAACGTGGCCCTATCAAACTGAAGATGGGGCCGCGACGAGCAACTGGCCCTGCGGTTGTGCCAGGACTGCCAGGATCACTACCTCAATGCTTCGCCGCTGCTGCCAATGTGGGCAAGAAGTGAGATGGTTCCTGCAGTGCACTATCTCAGGAGTCATGCCGAACCCAAAACTTCCAGGGCGCAGACATTCCTCAGCTTGGGAAGTGTCGTCCTGTTGTCAGCTACAGCTCGTCAAAGCCTAGCAGCCCTGCATATCTTCCGTTTCTGATAGACTTGTCTTCCATAGGTCCTCACAGTACAGCAGTAAACTCTACATGGACTAGGGAAGCTGCAGCAATCTCACTGAAGCACGGCCAAAAGTCTAGCCCAATTTGATATTCTCTGCTCGTATCGAAAGCTACTACATTCTAGGTTGGTCGGTCGAGCATGTTTGCACATTTTGTACTTGTATCCGTGGCAAACTCATCCTGGGAGGCAATGGGTGAATGCAAGAGCTCCCGCAGGTTCCCCCCAATTCCCACCCCTCTTTGACAATGTTGTCATCTGCCTATAGGCAAATCTGGAGCCAAAACACTTCCGCTTGGCTGAGACATTGCAAAGAATTTGAACTGAGTCCAGGGACCACCTTACGACCACTCCCCCCATCCTACCACCCTCAAACCATCCCTATCTAACCCCTGCTTCAACCCAGTTTCCATGGAATTTCGCATGCTCTTCTCCATATCGTTCTCCCTTCTTGGGGCAATGGCCCTAAACGTTAAGCCCTACATAAAGCTTTATGACCCTGTATGAGGATCCTAAACCCTAAACCCTACTTTATCCCCTAAATTCCCCCAAAATAGCCCTACATACTAAACCCCAACCCCAAACCCCAAACCTCAAGCCCTATACCCTAAACCCTAAACCCAAAATCCCAAACCCTAAACCCTAAACCCCAAGTCCATTATACCCTGCATGAGCCATTGTCTAAACTCCTAGTAGCCCCCTTAATATTCCTTATATAATCCCCTATATAACCCCTTTAAGGAGTTTAGACTATAAACCCTAAACCCTTAATCCTAAACCCTTAATCCTAACCCCTTAATCCTAAACCCTAAACCCTAAACCGTAAACCTTATATAATCCCCAAGAGGACCGGTCCTGCTCAAGTAGTTGTGGCATCGCTGATCCTCAGCCTGCAAGGCTGCCTGGCTCCAGAGCTCAGAGCAATCCTCCACCGGTACTTTTTGGTATTTAGGGTGTTTTTTTTTTTGCGGGACCTTTTCTCCAAAGGTTGGTCGCCTCCAGAGATGCTTGATTAGCACGGCCC